CCCCCCCCACACACACTCTCTCACTCTCTCTGTCCCACTTATCACCTAACAGCTTACTAAAATTGAATAATATTCCAACTTGGTATCTCAAGGGCACTGGAGGAATGAAATAATTCAGAATATTACTTGGATTCGTGCGGATCAAATTTCTGATCTATTACACCATAAACACATTATGCGGATGGCGCATTTTCCCCTCTTGCCCAGTACTATCACTATAACTGAATCCCCAGAAAACAGAATGCCAAGTAATCTTTAAAAGTGCCAATATGCAAGAACGGAAGATTAAAACACATCATTAATTTTAAATATTTTTGTTGCACAATAACACCTAGGGCAAAAAAGTGACAGAAGGATACATACAATATTATAAATTTTTTTTTAAACTTTCAAGGAGATGAAACCGGTCCTTTCAAATGGAAACACAACAGTATAACACAAGGAAAATCCTTATGTATGGATGCGAAAGCTGGACTCGAAATAAAGATACAGAAAGAAGATGTGGAATTCATGGAGCAAACTCAGAATCTCATGGATAGAGAGGAAAACAACGGAAGAAGTGCTGCGAATGGCAGGCTGTAAATATGTACTTAGGTTCAGAACCATCAGAAAAAGACAATAATAGCGACTGTGTGGCTACATAGAAGAATCAAATGGAATTAAGAAACTGCTACTTTGTGGAAATGCAGAGGGAAGAGTGAGCGGATAAGGGTAAAGAAAAACAGAACAACGTACACAGATGATCGGAACGATTTTGTGGCAAACAAAGCAACGGGAAAAAACCGAGCTGATCAGGTAGACAAATCAGGAAGGAGTGGGGTAACATGATCCGCCATGTTTGTGCCAGGCCTGACACTTGAAGAAGAATCCAATTTGAATGACGCCATCTGATTCGCATACCTTTGTGCACGTGATGTGTTGGCTATAATAAACGCAAAGTTATGAAGAGCTTAAGTTCTGTAAAACCTAGACTCTGCGTACAATGGAACATTATATTATAAAAGGATGGTATAAACCAAGATAATACGTGTTGGTACCCACCTGGAAGGTGCTTGTTACACCAAGCTTGTAAAAGAACGGAATAAAGATGATTCCCGCACTGCACATGGCCAGTACCAGAGCCAACATGAGGTACATGAACATTGTGTTGTACACGTACATCTCTGGGGAAAAGGGGAAAGGTGGGGTGGGGGAGTGGTGCAAGTGAATAGAGTTTGCTTTCTTTGTCTTAAAAAAAACCCTGTATTCTTTCAGGTTTCAAAATCACTATGTATAGAATTGTATAAACGGCTTGAATTTGTGGACAAGATTTTATGAACATATATGCGTATTGATATTTTATGATAATTTGCTCCTCTACAATTTTCAAGGTATACATTTTGCCCCACTTGTTTGGAATAGGCTTCCAAAAACTACCAGAGAAGCAGAACATCTAGAAATTTTTAAGAAGAAACTAAAAGCATTTCTATTTTCATCATATTTCGATTAGACAGAATCCATCCAAGCTGTTGATCGTTGTGAGTTTGTATGTGCATATGTGCGTATGTACGTATGTACGTATGTACGTATGTGTGTATGTGTGTATGTATGTGTGTATGTGTGTGTGGTGCGTGCGTGCGTGAGTATGTGTGGGTACGCGTATGTAACACTATGTGCCTTTAAATTTGATTTGTAAACCCATAATATGTATCATGTTAAGCGCATAGAGCATTGCATAAGTGGATATGCGCTATATAAATGCAATCCATTATTTTATTATTATTACATAACCACACGTCATGTTGTTGGCCATGCCGCGTATAAGTCTGAGTACATACCTACAGTACAGATGGCCCATCCACTTGGTATAATTGTATGGGGTGAGCTACAGATCAACACATTAAAAAGAAAAGAATAGTACAAGAAATCAATTAAATGTAATAACTGACCCGACCAGAAAATACCTTCCTATAAATAACTAAGCCACAAGAGACAATAAAAATGTCAATAACACAAGCGAACAAGCATGCATTTTCTTTAAACTATTTAGATCATAACTAGTTAGCTTGTGGAACACAGGTGGCTGTTTCTGTATATATCAGGGAAGCATAGCATGAAAGAAGAACGAAGCATTACTTACCCACCGGAGTCCCCAGGATGGTCAGCGCTGACATGAAGGTGACAGTCAAGGACATAGCTACCGGGAAAACAGACATAGATCTGAAAAAGGCCATAGATACGTTCGTGCCTTTAACTGCAGTACCAATAGTAATATTTCCCACAGTAAAGTCATTGGGAGGGAAAAGACACACCAGAAGATGGCAATATAACCAAGTAATAGAAATGCGTCATAACATTTTGGGCAGTTAAAAAGTTCAAAGAAATACTTACTTATAATTAGACGTAATGGAGTGTATGCAATGGAAACTATCCTTTGGGCGAGAAAGTTGCCCCATCTTTTTAAAAAATTGTTTTATTTTCTGTCTTATTTTTTAAAGTTTTTAAAATGTGTTTTTTATTTTATTTTTTATTTTAATTCTTTTTTTGGGGGGGGGGGTGGTGAGTCAATAAGAGTACTAAGAGTAGCAATGTAAAGATCTGCTGCGTGAACAATGATAACATATTATTTCCCATTTTTAAGGCAGGTATTGCATAATTTGTATTTAGACCCACTGTAAACAGGCACGTTATCCTACTTTAAAAAACGTTTCCAAAAGGACAGAGCCAAGGGCCTGGAGACCCTTGACCGACTACCACTACCACAAAAAAAATGAAAAAAAGATAAATAAATAAATAAAAAGAAAGAAAGAAAGAATAAAAAGAAAGAAGGAAAGAAGTGAATAAATAAATAATTGACAACATTAATAATACACGTAAAACAGAAATATGTGTGTGTGTGTGTGTGTGTGTGTGTGTGTGTGTGTGTGTGTGTGTGTGTTTGTGCCTAAAGAAAAGTACCAAGAAGATTCAAAGCTGAACACGTTGGTTTTTAATTTTTTAGATATATCTCAAGCAGCTTTTTTTAGATATTGCACATTGTGAGGTTGAGTATAAAGATTTGATTTTGAGAATATTAGCTTTTAAGTTTAGGGCACATACAAACTTGAACTAAAAAACGGTGATTCATTTGTTTCTCATGTATTTTTTTTCATGGAAAGTTCAATTCTAATTTTGCATTCAGTTGACATAAATATTATGATTATAATTCAACGGTAAAACATTTCGGGGAAGAAAAAATCGTGCTCCAAGAATAGATGTTAACACCCTCTAAAAGCAGTGTTCATTATCTCATATCAAAGCAATCCCTTTTAACATAATGTTAAAAAATGGTGGAACTGTCATTTTTTATGGAAACACATTTTGGTCAAAAAAGTGATTTTTTGGGGTCTTTATCAGTCTGTAGCTCAAAATGCTCTTGGGGTTTTTTTGGTACCTTTCTTTAGACACACACACACACACACACACACACACACACACACACACACACACACACACACACACACACTCACACACACACAAACAAACACATATACATATATATGTATATTCAATTAGGTAAATATTATTTAATCTAAAACTCATTCTATATTAAAAATAAAAAAACCCAAGTAGGATATTTATTTTAAAAAGACCCCTTGGTGTTTTCTTCCAGCAATACCTTCCTCCCAACAAGAACTCATTGGGATTTTCCTTCTTCCTTCTTCTGTCGTTAATGGCATGGTAGAGACCAACCACTGAAAAGATCACCAGCAGCACAATAAACACCGCATAGTCAACGCCACTGAACTTGCGGATCTCTCCTGTCTCAATGCTATTGGAGCCCATCTTGCTGGACTACGTTTTCTGAAGTCTGTAAAAAAAACGTGAAGAAAAAAGACGGCACAATGTTTATGAGTCCACACATAAATTAAGTCAGCATCATGATGTAATTTCAAAATTTCTAAACAGAATAAGGGGACAATTATTAAAAGAAAACACATACGTTTATATATATATAATAGACCCTAGAATGCAAAAATGTCTTTAGTGCAAAATAAACAAATCAGACATAAAAAGTGCTGAATAGAGCTTGATGTCACCTTGCAAAGCAATTTTGTCTTATCTCACTACTCAAACGTGTTCAAGAATTATAGGAAAATCATATTTAGTCTTATCTCAATACTCAAACTTGTTCCAAATTTTTATTTGCGATTTTCTCCAAATAGCAGTCTTGGCACTTAAGACATTTTTACTTCCACGGATATTTCTTAAAAGAAGAGCTGATGCACTTTGGACTGTCATTATACTCACACACACACACACACATACACACACATACACACACACACACAAACACACACACACACACACACACACACACACACATACGCACACACACACACACACACAAACACACACACACCAGTGCCGGATTAACCATTAGGCAAATAAGGCAATTGCCTTGGGGCCACTCAGAAAAATAGGCCACAAACAGGCCAGAGACAGGGTACAACAGGGCCACATTTTTTTCGTTTTTCTCCCCGTTTTCATCAGGCCGCAGCAAGGCCAGTCAGGAAGGCCACAACTAGAATAGCCCTAAGCTAGCCCAAGACAGAGTCCGACTGGGATTTTACTCCCAGGCCTAGTTCAGAAAGTGCTGTGACATTTTGTGTCGACTCTCTCTAGGCCACTTTTTTTCTGAAATTAAATTGAATCATTAGCTGTGGGTTCCAAATCAAACACCTTTGGCCTCCTAAGTCACCAGATACCTGGCAACCCAGATAACAGTTCCAAAGTTGTATGTATAGTATAATGTTTTACGGCGCTCGCAACTGCTAAGGTCATATGAGCGCGCGAAACACAAGTTGTTCACTTTTGCAAAAGTTCACTTCATGTCTGGTTAACTAATTTACTTTAAAATGCTAAAAAGTTAAAATATCTAAATTCGGTGTAAATACATTTGTGATTTAAAACAACTCTTTTAAGTAACAATAAAAATTTTCAATAATATCAAATTCACTCTACAACTCGCCATAAAGGCCAATGGCCTTTATACAATTTAAATTTCTGCTGGGAACAACGACGGAAAAAATATCCTGCAATTTCTTGCATTTATAATATTTCCTTCGGATCTCTCCAAAGTCTAGACATTCTGTTGTGGCCCTGCTGGAGTCAAAAGCCTGCGAATGTTACATTTCTAGCCTAATTTCTGCCAAATTGGCATTTTTCTAAGTGCACATGAGGTCACGAGGTGAAAGGTGCTTACAAAACCCCTGATATAAATAAAAATCAAAGTAGGCTATCTGTATAATAATTCAGACATGTATTATTAGGCCTAGATCTAGATATTTTAAACAAGGGAAGGGACAGGAAGGGATGCCAGCATTATACATGTAAAAAGTTATTTTTTGTGCTAGAACTATGTTTTTTAAAAGCAAATTGAAACCTTACAAAATTAGTGTCCAGATTCCGAATGAATAATATAAAACGTAGAATAGACCGAGATCTAGATCTAGATAAATCTAGTCTAAGTCTAGTAGCGCAGTGTTTATATAATTTTTAATGGTATCCCCTCTCTTAGTTTTAGGGCTAAACCCTCCCCCCCTCCCCCCCAAAAAAACCCAACAACCTCCCCCTGCCCAGAACTCGGGCCTTAACAGTTGCTTGTGAGGTTGGCCTAAAGATCCTACTGTTAGCTTTTGAAGCAATACACGAAATTGTACCATCCTATCTCACAGAACTCATAAATGTGCAAGCAACATTCAGAAACACAAGACAAAGTAAACACATAAGACTGTCAACTAGAAGTACCAGAACAAAAATCGGAAATCGGGCTTTCAGTGTTTCAGCCCCATCTGTACGGAACGCACTGCCAGCATCTATAAGAAATGTTGAGAATGTGGATTCTTTCAAACGACACGTTAAGACATTTCTGTTCCAGAAAATATTCAACTGATCCAAATTGTAGCGCCTCAGAGCAGATCTTCTTGAGTGGGCGCTTTATAAATGCCTTTTGACTTATAACGTATGACTTACATATTGCTAGCCTATGCAATGGTGACCCAAGTAGTAATTTTCAATACTAATGCTATTCATATGTCGGTATAACTAGGTGTTAAATTACGCTAACAAATGTTTCTTCGTACTAACAGGAAAACGAAGAAACAAAACGGGAAAGTGAGAGTTGGTGGGATTTGGGGCAGGGGAGGGAGGGGGAGGGAGAAATAGACAGGAGAAGAGTTCGTGTGTATGTGTGGGAGAAGGTCTTTAAGACTGCAGCTTTGGCTGCAACTGGATATCTTTTATTTTGACAGTGGCCATGCAGTATGACCGCATTCTGATCTCTGTCAGTAGTACAAACTAGTACTTTACAATAATATACAATATTGAGGATGCTTATAGAGACCAGAATCAAAATAATATAATGCAAACCATTGCAGCAGCAATAATCAACAACAACAAACAAAAACAAAAACAAATAAACAACAACAACAACAACAACAACAATAACAGCAGCAGCAGCATCACCACCACTACCACAACATAGGCCCTACTACGTTTCTTCATAATGTACTCTTCTTGAGCATGTTTATCCTCAGCGTCTTCTAGGATTAGTATCTTGAAATGTCAAAACGAAAGAGTGGATGGAAAAGCGAAGGAGTTGGAGAAGAAGAAAATTAAAGGAGAAGAACTAAAAAAAATTAACAAAACTGACTTCAACTTTTCATGTGAAAGGGAAAAGTAGTAGCGAAGCTTCTTCATCTCAAATTAACAACAAGAAGAGCCTACTGCTAGTACAATTGAAGCTGGGGTAGCTGATGGTTAATCTTCTTCATCTCAAATCGACAGCTACCAAGAAGAGCCTACTGCTGAAGCTGAGCTAGCTGATGCTAAAACAGTCGAAACTCGTAATACTTCAAGAACAATGGCAAATGATGTAAGGCTTCTAGGTGATATAAAGGACCATATGCTTGAAATGTGCATAACTCGAGGTGCAAACCAGTTTCGGAATTTGGCAAGTGACTATCCAGAAACAAAACGAGACTTTTCTGGCATGAATCGAGATTTAAATAACTATGCATTCAAACGTGTTTTGTCAAATGGAGAAGTAGTTGATCGTGACTGGTTCGTATAATATTATTCTCCAGGCAAAGCCTGTGTTTTCTGTTTCCCTTGCTTTTTTGTTTTCGCCTGACCGTGTACCTCTTTCTGGTCAGGGGTTTACAGATTGGAAGAATATAACTAACTATTTAAAAACACATGAAACAAGTCCCAAACATATAAACTCAGTCTTGACTTAATGTCAGCGTAGTGTTGCTGCTGCGCGAGTTGACGAGCGGTTACACCAAAACTTACTGGAACAACGAAAATACTGGAAAAATATTTTGTTACGTTGTATTAAGACAATCATTTTCGTTTTTAAGAGAGGGCTGGCTTTTCGAGGCAGTAATGAAATCGTTGGGTCCAAGGACAATGGGAACTACCTGGGTATTTTAGAACAAATTGGGCAGTTTGATCCATTTTTATCTCAGCATATCAAAACTCATGCCAACCAAGGACGTGGACACACTTCATACCTATCAAAAACTACTTGTAAAGAATTGATTAACTTGTAAGGCAAGCATGTTCTTGACCTCATCAAGGATAAAATTTCTAAGGCAAGGTACTTTTCCGTCTCCATAGATTCTACTCCAGATGTTACGCATTCTGATCAGTTAACCATTGTTTTACGCTATGTCAATATGGTAGATCACCAGCCCGAGGAGCGCTTTTTGACATTCATCAACATCTCAAGCCACACATGACAGAATCTTGCAGATACGTTGCTCCAATACCTAAGGGAGCAAGGCATCGACTTTGAGAATTGTCGTGGCCAGACACACGACAATGCCAGTAACACGTCTGGGAAATACACTGGAATGCAGACAATTTGTGGATCATATCCCGTTCGCAGGCCACTCTCTAAATTTAGTTGGTTAATCAGCTGTAGATTGCTGTGTGGAAGCTGTGTCTTTCTGTCAGTTCCTGCAGCGCTTGTATTCTTTTTTTGTTGCATTAACACATCGTTGGAATATTTTATTACAACACTTTGAGGAAAATCCTGAATGTCTTGTCCCAAAACACCGATCGGATACCCGGTGGTCTGCCCGGGCTGATGCGACAGAAGCAGTCTTCAGGGGCTACAAACAATTCCAAAGTGCTCTACAAGTACAAGATATTGCAGAAGTTATTGACCTGAATGGTCTCACGAAGCACAAAGCTGGCGCTCTTGCAAATTATATGGACACCATTGAAGTTATTTTCATGTGTGAACTTTGGAATGACATTTTACATCGTTTCAATTGCTGTAGTAAACTGCTACAAAGTTCAACTATTGAACTAAGCCCGGCCATTGGATTGTTAAAAAGTTTAGACACATATATAGGTAAGTGTCGAGAAAAGTTTGACTATTACCATTTCAAGGCAAGTGACCGATGTGGAAGCAGCATGTTATATAAATCAGACAGTCGGAGAGCACGTGTACACAGGAAAACAGTAGATGACGGAGATGTCTCAAGGGTGATGGATGAAATGTCGGGTCAGGAGAAATTCAAAGTGAATACATTCTTGGTTATCATAGACCAACTGAAAAGTTCCCTATGCAGACGAATTGACGCCTATTCAACAGCAGTGCAGAGGTTTGGCTTTTTAACAGAGTATAATTCAATGTCAGCTGAAGACATCAATGCTGCAACATCAGCACTTGTTAATGTCTATTCACATGACCTCTCTCCTAACTTTCTAATGGAATTTAGACAGTGCCTATGATAGGTGAAAGAGCAAGTATATCCGGATAATGCAACTGGAAGCGCTCAGAGATTTTTCAAACTC